CAATCATGTCTGTAGATATATTTGCAGTCCCGACACACAGCAGCAGAGCTGAAGGGCTGGCCTGAACACCTGGCCCTGCAGGTGCACAGCGTCAACGAGGCAGCCATCATGGACTACAGCCTACGTGACCGCACCCTGTTCTTGACGGATGACGGCACAACTTCACTCAGCTCCTTCAAGCTGAAGGACGCAGACTTGTCCTCCCAGGGTCAGCTTCTAAAACTCCTGGGCGACACAATCACCGCCATGGCCCTGGACTGGGTAACACTTAACATCTACTGGAGCAGCAACAAACAGCCCCGCCTGCAGGTCACCTCTATCACGGCTGCACACACTGCCGTTCTCATAAAGGAAGGTATCAGCAGAGTGGAGTCCATCGCCCTCCACCCTCCCAGTGGAAGGGTTTGTTTCACCAACCTGGGCCTGCAGGGTAAAGGTACCGTAGGTACCGTGGCTACTGTAGAGTGTGCCAACATGGACGGTGCTGGGCGGAATGTGGTGTGGAAGGATGCAGTCCAGCCAACATCTCTGGTCTTCTCCAGTAATGGGGATAAAATTTACTGGGCTGACACTGGTAAGTATTTTTTTTTTTTTTTTTGGGGTTTGGTATGGGAAGTTTTGTCTAAGATGTGTTTCATGCATTGACAGTCAAAAATGCTGTGGAATAAAGCTGTAATTTGTTTAGAAAAAAGCGGTAAGGTAGCTTGGATTCTCTCCTAGGTTTAGGGACCATTGGCTCTATCCAGCTTGATGGATCGGGATACAGAGAGCTGAAGACTGGTGATGGCCTGGTTGCTGTGGCTCTGAGTGATGACACACTGCTCTGGATGACTGTCAGTGGTAATGGCTCATAGTATCTACTAAATGAAATGACACCATGTGTGTACAAACAACCAGGAGGTGGCGCTGTTCATGTAATTTACATAATTTGTTGTAATATGCGTAAGTAGCTTAATGCATACAAGACGATGCCTGCATGACGAATGGTTTCAAAAAATCTGAATCTGAAATTCAACCAGTGTGACTCTCTGTTGGCTCTTTCCTTTAGACAAAACCAGGCTCTGGTACAGAGATGAGCAGCAGGAGAGCAAGTTGTGGTTTGAGGTCGGCACGGAGATGGTCAGCTTAAAGGCGTTCAGCAACTCCAGTCAGACAGGTACGTGATAAAAGCACACACTGTAACAGTTCTGATGGTAGTTAAGAGAGTCTTTCAAATTGGAGCATACTGAAGTGGTAAATGTCATTTACTGCTGAACTATTTTTTTTACAGGTTCAAACCAGTGCACAGACAACGGCAACTGCCAGCACTTATGCCTCGCCACCCCAGGAGGTCGGACATGCAAGTGTGCACATGACCACATACTTGTGCATGACACCTACTGCAACCCGGAGCAGCGCTGCCCAAGTGGCACCAGGCCTTGTCTGGATGAACTCTCATGCCAACCCGTTGAGAAGTTCTGTAACCGGCACATTGACTGCTATGACCACTCAGATGAGAACTGTGAGTCTTTTTATATCTCCCTTAATGCAAACTGGAAAATATCATGATACATGTAATGATATCTTTAATCTAAAACAACCACCTTGGGTTTTTGGTTGAAACTATCATCTTTTCTTAGGTGTTAGTGTGAAGCAGTGGTCAGAAGCCAAGGTTCCTGCTCTCACCTGGGCCCACAACTCCTCTCCTCCAACCTTCCCTCTTCCTGGTCTCTCTGGAGTCTCTGGCCCGAACACCACCCTGAATGAAAGCAGTCAGCTCAGGAACCTGACCGCCCAGGATTGCAGCCAGAAACACTGCAGTGGCAACGGACGCTGTGTGAAGAACAATGGAAACTCTGCTTGTGTGTGTTCACTCGGCTACAGTGGAGATTCTTGTCAAGACCATCTTCTAAAGACCATGCAGGGTCCCATTGTCTACGGCGCTGCAGGGCTCTGTGCAGGAGTGGTGGTCATTGCTGTGATGGCAGTGGTGGTTAAGAGGAGGAAGAGTGCCAACGGAAGGTTTGTCTGCTTACCAATTAAAGGTCCAGGGCGAAACAGTTTCCCTAGGCCCTACTGGCAGAAATGGAAATATCCATAACTGTGTTTTTATTGGTGTATAATTGGCTGAATATAGGAATTGTTACACCTTAGAATGAGCCTTTTATATCTACCGATGTCGCGGGTCAGTCCATGGAGTCCTGTTGAGCCACCATGTTTATACACTAGCAGACGGGACAAATGAACACTGGCTCAATTTAGGGGCGTTTGCATTTTTCACATGTTTTAAAGAAAAAAGTTTCAACCTCATGGTGGCACTAAGAGCACAACATTTTGTGGCAATCCATCTAATAGTTAATAGATTTCAGTCTTGACCAAAGTGGTGGTCTGACATTGTCATGCCAGAAATTCACTGATAATGTGGCAAAAAGAGCCGCCAAAGATGAATAGATGGCATCAAAGGTCCCTAGTGAGCGTATCTCTACATGTGAAGACTGTGCGTACACGGTGAAATGTCTGCCACATATTGCAACAGCTGACTATAAAGAGGTAGCACAGGACTACATTTTTGTTTGTCCTTACTGCAGGAGAGCTCGCCCAGCAGCAGTGAAGGAAACAAGTATGACTGATCTGGAGAACAAAGCTGAGACCACCCCAAGTAAACAACCTTCCCCGGTAGACACAGACAAACCAGAGGTGGACCTCCCAACAACTCCATAATCTAGCAGGTTCCCAATTTATCTTACCATGCTTGTGGGATAACAGTTTCTTTCTTTGCAGGAAGTGGCATCTTCTGTGGACTGAGGCAGATTCATGGGCAAGCAGCGTTTTAAATAAAACAGTTTGCATTTTCTGCTGTTTCCTGTGAAGTTATTTCAGCATTGTTTACTGTTGGTTAGACCACCAATGTCAAAAGTTTGACATGGCCTGTAATACATAGTGGGCCGTGTTATGGTACCAACTTGAACATTTTCATAACACTGGTTGGTGGTTGTAGTATGAGGACTGTCCTTTTGTAAATCATCCTGTAGTTGCCAAAAGGTTCAGCATTAAGAGTGATGGACAAGGATCTAACACTGAAGAAAGCAAAAGAGAAACCTCAAACTCTCTCCTGGGAGGAGAGACCTCAAGTACAGAAAATAGCTGTGTAATCTCTGATCTGAAGGATGGAGACTGTGGCAGCTGCTTGGGGTTCTTGATCAAAACACACTCCCTATTGTTCCTTGTGTGACCAGATGTGCCCCATAAAGTACACGTGTCATAAAAGACTAAGGCTGCAACTAACAATTTTCACTATCAATTAATCAGCAGATTATTTTACAAACGTATATCAGAATAGATCAGAGCCTAGCATGACCACTTCAAAAGTTTACAGTGAGTGTACAATAGAGGAAAGCAGCAGATCCTCACATTTGAGAAGGTGGAACCAGTGAATGGATGACCTTTTTGCTTAAAAGAATTTAGCAAAATAGTTGCACATTCATTTTCTGCCAATTGATTAATCAACTAAATGTCACAGCTCTACAAAACACCAAATTAAAAGATAGCTGTTTTTTTTTTTATCATTAACTCCTTGATGAATTTGTCATAAAATTCGATCTAAACACGTGGTTAGCATTTGATTTGTAATTACTTACTCATCCCAAGTTTTCATTTAACGCCATTGTTGGATCAAAATTTGTATTTGTCCTGTACTTTGGTTTATGAGCAAATGCCTGCGAAACTAAAAACGCCCCCATCAGCTGTACTTTGTTTTGTGCTAAATGTTAATGTGTAATATGCTAAACTCAGGGAGTAAACATGGTAAACACCAAACATCAGCATGTAAGCATTATCATTAGGAGTGTGTTAGCATGCCCACATCCTGTGCGTCTTGTTTTACATCGTTTTAATGACTATTGCTAAAGTGCTGTTTGGTGTGGTGGTGGAACGTAATTAAGTACATTTAGTCAATCACAAAAGGCCAATTTTGACATACAGCACATAAATATTAACATTTCTTTTTTACTGTTTGAGGAAAATGCTACTCTTACTACATTTCTTGATTTCACAGCTAGTTATTTTGCAGATTTACATACAATATGTGATCAGCATGCTGTATGTAAAATAGTGCATGCCTGTGGGATACAATTTGAGTACATAATGTACTTTCACTTGGTTTAGCCCACACAGGTGGTAGTTTAAGCTGATCAGAGTACTGTGGGGTTTAGAGACACTGCTGATTGAAATGTCCCTCATCGTCCTTTTAACTTGGCTGCACATTTTAGGGTGGGACAAATCACACATGTATCCTAAACAGAAGTCTGATCAGCCACTGTTGTTCAAACTACCTGTGTTGGTGCATAAATTGTTGCTCATATTCATAAATAGGGTGAAGTAATTACTTCTACATTGATTGTTGCTGTGATTGGAATTAATGAGAATAAATGTAGATATGGGGAGATGGAACTGGTGTGAATTCAGGGAGGTATGTTGTTTTAGTGGAAATCAATATTAATCTGTTTCTGTGGACAAATGGCATATTCAGCCTTTTGCCACTGTATTCACTAATTTCATCTTTATTTCACAGCAGACTGATAATGAAGAAAAATAATATACACACCCCCACCCCCCAATCCCCACCCAAATAATGATAATGTGTGTTTAGTTGCAGTCTGTGCAATGAATATGCATGATGAGACGTTACCAAGAAATTCTGATGACATGTATTTAAAGACTAAACCGGATTCTCCCCATTGTTTACACCCAAACCACAAAACACATGTTTACCTTGTTTATGAATAGGCGCATCTGGTGTACTTATTCTCTTATTATCTTCTAAGAATTTTTAGCACTGTCTAATTTTACTCTGTCTGGGGTGTTAAATGATTTACTCTGAATTGTTAGTGAGTCTGGGCTGAAGTGAATAATGCTAAGGACATGAACCAGAGGGTGAATTACTGGTTTATTGTAACCACACATATCAACAGCTGTATAAAAAGATGTCCAATGCAAGGACGGAGAAGAAATTAGCATTTATTGCATTACGTGTATCAGCGTTGAGACATTTCAGAAGTACTCTGCTGTATATGCAGGGATAGAAGGATACTCAACATATCAAGGTAGGTCTTCAAGCAGAAATGCAATATTATCAAATATAATACTCTTTTTTTTAAACTTTTTTCTTTAGCTAATTTTCATGCCAAAGTTACAGTATATTGTATAAATGTCTTTATTTTGTTAACAGATGCTTACATTTACATTTCAGTTTAACTGAATGGTGGAATTCAGATCCCTATTCAAAAGGTATTATCAGCAAAATATACCTAAAGTTTTAAAAGTATTTAATATTCAGAATAGTTTATAAGATAGGATATTTAAAACTTCATGTATGACAGCATTTTTGTAGCTGCTCGAGGTGGAGTTGATTTGAACTATTTTATGAAGTACTAGACGGTCTAAAATTAGAAATCTTTTTAGGAGTCAACTATATCTTGTAATTGACTCCTGAAAACTTTAGTTTGCAGAGTTGCTAGAATATTTTAACCTGTTTTTAATGGATATAAACTTTTTCAAAAGTTTTCAAAACAGACTGTAGCAATATAATGATGAAAAATACTTTCCTGAAACAAGTTGATTTGCATTGAACATGTGTTATTGTAATATTGCTACTGCACTGGAAGTTTTCTACCCTTTAAAGGGAAAAAACTAATTTGAATTTCACTGAACAATACATCATGTTTTAGAAGCTGGTCATATGTTTTGTATGATGAATAATAATATGCAAAATAACAGGTAATAGTCATTAAATGTAGTGTCAACAAAAGTAGAGTATTTCCCTCTGAAATGTGGTAGAGTAGATGCCTAAAGTGAATTTTACCAATCTGATGTGTTTGTTTCAGCAAATCCAGCAGAAACAGCAATGGCCATTCTGAGGACTACACTTTGTGCTGTCTTCATGGTGACTGCAGTGTTGTCTAAACCAGTGAGTAGCTCTACTATTCTGCTACTACCACTATAAAGCAATCTAAGAGGAACATTACAGTATTATTATTATTTTTATGAAAACAGCTCTGCCTGAATGAGGGTGAAGATTCATCAGAGTCCAGTCAGTTAGATTCATCAGAGGAGGCAGACACTGATCTTGGGCCTTCACAGGAACCCCTGCAGCCGGCATTCACAGACACAGACGTGTCTGATGCCGTGGAGGAGACTGACCCCCCGAGCACTGCAGCCCCACTACCCTCTGCAGGGCCTTCTCTGGCCACGCTCAATACTTCAGCCCTCCCTGAGGACCCACAAGCCTCCACTGACACAGACGCTTTACAACTCATGCCAGATGACCCTTCACATACCGCTCTGGGTGTAGACGTCTCTCAGGATATGCCTAATTCTGATCCTGCACAGGACTCAATTAACGCTGACACAGAGTTCTCACCACACCTTACAGAAACTGGTACAATCACAGGCACCGATGGCACAAATCAACCACAACTCACCACCACCACCACATACCAAAGATTCCCCCAGAGTGCCACTCCACCATTCTCCACAGCCACACCCATGCCAGTCCACATCAGAACCGCCCTGACTGGTGTTCCTGTTTGCTTCACTTTCCAGTTTGCGACCGCTGAGCCTGATCCACCTAGAGGAGATAGCATTTGACCCAGATAAGTTATCCACTTCAGGTTACAGGCTCAGTCCATGTTATTGTTGTACATATAGGTAAACATATAGGTCTCCTGATTCTTTATCATCAGAATCAGAATCACTTTTATTGGCCAGGTATGCACATACAAGGAATTTGACTCCAGTTTGACATTGATCTCAATGTACAAACACAGATTAACAGTATAAATAAACAGAACAAGTTTAACACAAAAAAGACCGGCTTATATGTACAGTTATACATATCTATAAACAAACATTTGTACACAGTAGTATCAAGTCTAAATATCCAGACTACACTTTTACTTTGATTTTACGTTTCCTTTATCAGTGGCAATTGTATTAAAATGGTGCTAATGTACACGACTGCTATATAAATAGAATATAAATGTTTGAACAATGGTAGAAGTGCAGTGCTGATTTGCAGGATCAACACCTTGGCTGAAAACACCTCAAATGTATTTGTATGAGCAGCTGGACATGAAAATGTGAATAAATGTTCTAATCCCTAATTCAAAGTTGGTTCAGAAGAAAACACAAAACAATACAAGTGTTTAGTAAAATGATTTTGTTTATTTGGAGTTTGTATCACTGTCATTGTAAAGGTAACCAAACTTTACACCTGCAAATAAAGACACAAAAAGCAAATGGTACTGGAAATCAGGCCCTTTCGTCACAGCAGCCATACCAGCCATTACAGTAGTATATGTATGTATGAGAGGGAAATACTCAAAGGTGCATGTGTTGCAGTAGTTTATCATGACAAACAGGCAAGACATATTTCCACTGCCAAATTTCAGACAAACCACATTTCTTGGCTGGCTTTAGAAAATGAGCAGGTTAAAGGCCCAGTCAGTAATTTCTTTTAATCATCCAAATTACAGATACATTTACATACATACTTGTCAAATATTTATAATTCACAGCTTAAATCAGAGTACTGGCCTGTTTTTAGGTAAACAATTGGATAACATGACAGGTTTAAAAGACATCACCTATGGGATCAAGAGTGGCATTCACACTCAGTAATTAAAATATGGACTAAGAAGTCAAATTTAGAAAAGGACAATCTGTTTAATCTTTGAGTCACAGGGCATTTATGCAAAGAAAAGTACCTGGTTTGCACATTGCCTTGTGCTATGCTGCCAGCAGGTCAGTCAATGTCAGTTACTTTGTTATCATGTTGACTTCTGCCTAAGGGCTACTTTTAATTTTTTTAATTCTTTTTTTTTCTGTCCGACACATCGAAGCTGGTGGAGATACAGTGCTGTATATATGACAAGCTCACACACCTTGGTGCACACAATGCCTTACTGAGAGAATTTAAACAGGACGTATGAAACAGTCCCTGAACATAACAGAAGGCGATCACAGATGGTCTAATACTGCACAACCTAGTAGTTTACCTGCTCTTTTTTTTTTTTGCCATAGGGCCACACAGTGGCTCAGTGGTTAGACTCTCACCCCCCAGCAAGACCTTCCTGGGTGGTCAGATGGACTAAAGGGCTTTTAACACTGCACTTATTCCAGGGCTAAAAGCATTCTTGGAACCTCTGGCTAAGAAAGCTCTCACACAATCCTGGCACATTGTTACCCGGACTTTAGCCCAGGGAGGCTGGTGCTGGCCCTGCTCTGGAGCAGGGTTGGATCAGAGTTTGCAGGGTTATCCCCCCAAAATTGACTAAACACAGGGCTAGAAGGTTCCAGTGTGAAACAGGCTACAGTAAACAGAGCCTAAACAAAAATGTTAACATTACGTCACGTGTTCCGTTTGAATCATATAGCCCTGGGGTTAGGTTAAATCTGAGTTAAAAGTGTGTGTGTGTGTGTGTGTGTGTGTATGTGTGTGTGTCAAAAGGGGCATCCAGGGTCAGCTCTTATGCACAATATGCACTGTGAAAAGCCCTTATTAACTGCCTGTAGGTGTGAATGTGTGTGGATATGTATAAGTCCTGTGATAGACTGGCAACCTGTCCAGGGTGTACTTTCATCTCACCTGGTGCATGCTGGGATACATTCCAGGCAGGATAAGCAGGTACAGAAAATAGATGGATTTTTTTTTGGTAATATGTACAACATAGAAACACTGGCTCAGTCTACTGTTACACTCAGTGTAAGTACACACATGAGCCAAATGTCTAAAGTATAAATGTCACACGTTGTGGTTGGCTCTCATTTTACTGTGGCGTGGGTGACTGAGGCTGATCTTGCTGCTCTGGTTCTGTGTCTGTTTCTGGCTCATTCTCAGTGTTCTGCTCTGGCTGCTGCTGAGGCACAGGCTGCTGGATGAGTCCCCCGTCCTGTGCTGTGTTGTAGGAGCCACAACTGCTGCACTTCATCCCCAGAACGTGGAAAGGCACCGTGCAGTGGGCTTGGCAGTCGTTACATATTATCTATAGTGAGGAAAAACACAAGTACACATTTATATACAACAAATTGGGTGATTACTCGTAATGGTCACTGAGGTCACTTTCAATTTATCTGTAGAAATGGGATTTAATCAAATCCAAAAATTGGGCATGTCATGTCTATAAAATAACCAAACTAAACCAAAATATTTACATATGAATTTTATTGTATCATTGGGGTCTTACTTTGACAGTAGCACCCTGGTATTCAGTGGGCATCGGTGACTGGGCAATCTCTTTGTCTATTTGATCCCAATGGTCCTCCATGCTCCAGGCAGAGTGCATACACAGAGGGCAGCGATATGCACTTAAACAAAAAGGAAACTTAGATTTAGTGGAAGGCCTGACCCAGTGCCTCTCCAGGACACTCAGAGAAACCAGGTGACATTGGTAATCAGGGAACATGCTTACATGCAGTAACCCAGTTACTGTAAATCTGTATATACATGCTGCAGGTCAGTAATCAGATTTATGAACTACCCTACACCTTATTTTGGAAGCATGTTTTACTTATTCTAACTGTAGGGTTAAAAGATGCTGCGATGCTGCTTCCTGGTCTTTGATGTGTGTGTCTGTGTCGGAGCAGACTGACAGTGCAGTGTGAGAAGGACAACAGACAGAGAGCAGAACTGTTCCTCAAAGCACCAGTGTGTCTAAATTCAACAGAATTCAAATGTTCAAAGGCGGAAACAACTCTGTTAGTTTCAGTTTCAGTCAGACTTGGATGGAATCATTTTAAATATAAAGGATGCATAACTGGATGTAACGATCTCTCTCCTTTCATCCATCACTCAGCTGTTACTTTCCCTGTCTGCAGGCTTTTATAACACACACGTAAAATGCAGAGCAGTAACATAGTTTCCTGAATACATGGCAAAGAAATCTGCTTGTTGGAGAAAGCCGACTACCGCCTGGTTACTTAATTACATGTAAATGCACTGACTGATGCAGGACTCAGCTGTTCCAGCAATGCTTGAAATGCGTATATCAAACAAATATAGAACACATTACCCTGGAACAAGACCATGTTTTACTCAACTTAACAATTACCAAGGGAAAAAAAGGACTTGTTAGACATACCCCGTTCTGACCATGTCATCAAAGCAGGTCCTGCAGAGAATGTGAACAAATACATTTGTTGTTACCTTCATGTCATTATAGCTCTTAAACTATGATTACCTATGAAGGTTACTTAACGGAAATGGAGAGCTTGAAATATGACACTTTGATTTAACTGTCTACATCATCAACACTATTTTAATACCGTTTTAATTATCTGCTATTTATGTTTAGATTTATATCATATTCTTCTAACTGTATAGAAATGTTCTAGATTGATGCATTTCTCCTGCAATGTACTTAAAGTCGGGATACAATTCAACCCCACAAACTGGAGCTACTAGTATTTAGAGAATAATGATTCTTACTTGTGTAAAAGGTGACCACATGGAAGAACGTGAGCTCCAATTCTGGATGTGTGAATATCCTGTACATACAAAAGAAAATCATATCAAAATGTAGAGAAAGTAAAGGATTGCATTCAAATCCAGCCTCCCTCATCCCATAAGGTATTATATGTTCTATTACCTCCATACACACTGGGCAGTTCTGCCTTGAAACATTTTCAACACACTGAAACATAAAAAAAATCATTATAAATGACAGCAGTGCCCATCAATATATACGACGTGTGTAGATCAGAAACAGGTGCAGGTTGATTATCACCTTGTGGTTTCCCCGCAGATCCTGGGCTAAACACAGATTGCACTTCTCACAGTGGAAATACTTCTCCCTGGGCCCAATCCTGTAGGGGTCACAACAGTCACTGACACGGATGACAATCACCACATGCATCAGAATGAAACTCTCAGAAACACTGAGTTGTGCAAGTTACTTAAAAAAATAAATAAATAGTATTCATTGTAGGAACCACAATGCAACATTACTAACGATAGATTTTTTTCCATGCACCGTCAACATGAAATACCAATGAATACTGTCTGAAATCTTTGGTTCTTGTGTTAGTAGATGAAGAAACACTGACATTTAACACAAGTTTGATAAAAGCAAACATCACAACACGTGATGTTTCCATGGTGGTTTTCTTGAATTACTGTAGACAGAAAATGACAAACTTTGTGTGCAACTTTAAAAAGGTTATTCACCACATCTCCATAGCATTGTCATCATCGTCCACTAAGGCTATAAGTGTAAAAAGATTTGTAACAAGCTTTTACGATATGCTACTGCTTACCTGCATATTCCACAGGGCTGACAGTGGTACTGCTTCTTATCCTTGTCGAACAAGTGGCAAATGTCACAGTAATACTCCCCAAACTGTACATTACACTGCTGGCAAGTTTGCTGTGCCTACAAGAGTGACATTTTACATTTGTGTATGTTAGTTTTTCTTGATGTGAACTACACACACAAATACAACATAAAGAACAAAGTGACATTTAAGATCACTGGTGGTCCTGCTACAGCTGACAGAAGTTGAAACAGATGAGCTGCAGCGGTTTCTCTCAGTTACCTGCTGCACCGTCTCACACTCAGAGCACTGCACCTCTCTGACTCTGAATCGGTCCATCTGGTGGTTCTCCTCTGCATCGTGGCACAGCCGACACACATACAGTTTACCACAGCACGGTGCCTGCAATACACAGAAACAGGTGGTTACATGGGACATAGGCAGGTGCATGGTGGGTATGTCAATCAAACTCATCTCACAGATTCTGCTTATATTCTAGGGTAGCCTATACAATCCGATATTTCTGTCATATGACCAACTTGACACAAAGCTAAGATAATCCAATACCCACTCAACTCTAAAGCCTTCGCCGTTTACTTAACATTGTGCAGCTAACATATAAGTTACAAAACATAAGACAGTAACTAATATGTCGTAACGATACAGTTGCTATGTTACCGGCTAACGTAAAGGAAACGTTAGCTAGTTAGCTGTGAGTGCTACCGGAGCTATACAGTAACACGACTCATTACAGCAGAGTTAGACTGTAGTACATTCAGCACCTACAGGCCTCCAATATGCATGTCAAGCACATATAAACAATACATATCCAAAGGTTCACTGACTTTTAATAAGCAGCTGCGCACATAGTGCTCGCAACCAGCAGGGGAAGCCATGTTTCCTCCTGAATGTGGTTCTTCTTCGACTGCTGTGACGGTGCTGCGCTCTTCTTCTTCTTCTTCGGGTTTTAATGGCCACCTGCTGGACTGGAGTGTGGAGCAGTAGCTTTGCAGGGAAAGAAACAAAACATTTGTTTCAAAGTAGATTGTAGATGTAATATTGTGTTCCTTATGAAATGCTGATATTAATTAACTCCTTTCATGGTTATATTTGCTGCAGTCTATTAATACATGTTTGACAGATAGATTGATTTAATCCTGTGTATCCTATTCTCAGACGGGCGATGACTGTCTCTGCCTTCGGGCTCCTGCTCTGTAATTCACCAGTGCATTTTTGTTTTTGTGTATTGTAAAGATGTCTTCCTGTGTCACATAAGTAAGATTGTTTTGCCAATATATCCACC